GACGCTGGCCGCACGGGCATGTCGGACGAGCAGTGGTGGCTGCACCTCTACGTCATGTTCTCCCGCGCCACGTGCGTGCGGAACATGCTGATCCTGCGGCCGCCGCCGCGAGAGTTCCTGGAATGCGGGCCGCCGGCGTCCCTGCGGAAGGCGCTCCTGGAGTTCGACAAGAGAGCGGTTTTGTCCAGGGCGGAGGCGAAGCAGCTCGCGGCAGAGCTGGGCTTCGTGCTGCCTTCCGCCTGAGCGCGGCTGCGCCTCGCTCGAAGCCCGCGGGGTTGTCCCAACGGCTTGGTCTTGCGCGCCAACGGCTCGCGGGGTTGTCCCGACAGCCTGGCCCGCGGGGCTGTCCCAACGGCTGCGCGACGTGACAAGTAGAGAACGCGCCTGTGCTGGCCGTGGCGGCGACGGCGCCGAGGAACATCGACGTGCGCGCTCATGCAACAGGAAGGGGAAGAGGTGGCGGGGCGCGGAACAAACAGGGGGGCGAGGATGGGACAACGTAAGGAGTGGAAGGGGGGCCCGCGCCAAGGCGAGAGGAAATATACGCAGAAGAGACAGCCAGGACGCCTCACCGACCACGAGGACGACGGCGATGTTTTTTTCCAGATTCGCCCAGAGGATTCTTATGTGGGGTTCTTCCGTCGTAGTTCTATTACCATTGCTATTGCTGCGGCTACGACTACTACTACGATTACCACCACTACTACCATTCCTGTTACCACTTCCACTAATTCTTTTTAGTGCTGCTACGTCTACTACTACGACTACGACGATTACCACCACTTCCACTGCGACTGTTCGTATTATCGCTACTACTTATAATATTTTTCTAGCCGTATTACTTCTGCTAGTACTGTGAGTTTTTTTCCGACCACCACTACAACTACGACTGCGACCACTAATATGATTCTTACTACTATGCCGACTGCTACTACTACTATTACTTCTACTACTACTACTAGTACTACTGCTGCTACTACTACTACTACTACTACTACTACTACTACTACTACAACTACTAGTACTACTACTACTACTACTACTACTACTACTACTACTACTACTACTACTACTAGTACTACTACTACTACTACTACTACCATTACTACTACTACTACCACTACTACTACTACTACTACTACTACTACTACTACTACTACTACTCCTACTCCTACGGCGACTATTTGTTGTACTACTATCACGACTGTTACCACTACTACTACTACGACTACTACTGATATTGCTACCACTACTACGACTACTGCTGCTGCTACTACTACTACGACTACGATTACCACTATTACCATTACTACGACTACGACTATCATCCGTGCTGCTACAACTACTACTACTACTACTACTCCTACTACTCCTACTACTACTACTACTACTACTACTACTTCTACTACTACTACTACTACTACTATTACTACTACCTACTACTACCTACTACTACTACTACTACTACTACTACTACTACTACTACCACTACTATTACTACTACTATTACTACTGCTACTACTACTACTACTACTTGTACTACTACTAGTGCTACTACCACTACTACTACTACTTCTACTACTACTACTACTACTACTACGACTACGACTACGACTACTACTACTACTACTACTACTACTACTACTACTACTACTACTACTACTACGGGTACGACCATGACTACGACTCGGCTATTACCCCCATTGCTAGTGCAACTGCTACTACTACTACTACTACTACTACCATTGGTACGACTACGACTACTACTATTTCCACTACTACTACTACTACTACTACTACTATCATTACTACTACGTCTACTACTTCTACAACAACTACTTTTACTTCTACTACTACTACTCCTATTACGACTACTCCTACTACTACTACTACTACTACCACCACCACTACTACTACTACTACTACTACTACTACTACTACTACTACTACTACTACTACTTACTACTACTACTACTACTACTACTACTACTACTGCTACTACTATTACAGCAAAAGCAACTACTACTACTATTACTACTACCATTACTACTACTACTACTACTACTACTACTACTACTACTACTACTACTACTACTACTGCTGCTGCTGCTGCTGCTGCTATTACTACTACTACTACTACTACTAGTACTACTACTACTACGACTACTCCTCCTGCGACTGCTACTACTACTACTACTACTACTACTACGACGACTACGACTACGACTACTACTACTACTACTACTACTACTACTACTACTACTACTACTACTACTACTACTACTACTACTACTACTACTACTACTACTACTACTACTACTACTACTACTACTACTACTACTACTACTACTACTACTACTCCTACTCCTACTCCTACTACTCCTACTCCTACTACTACCACTACTACTACTACTACTACTACTACTACTACTACTACTTTTACTACTACTACTTCTACTACTACGACTACTACTACTACTACTATTTCTACTACTACTACTACTACTACTACTACTACTACTACTACTACTACTACTACTACTACTACTCTCTCACTTGTATACGTGTATATATATAGGAACCTGTTATTGCGACTATCACATTTTTAAGATTTCCATTGCTGTTGGCGCCCACCGGTAGCACGACTGTGTTATGACAGCATCCCGCTGACGCGACTGCACATCGTGGCGGGCACGCGTTGGTCAGTTCGAGGCACACAATATTTCGCTTGCGCAGCTCATCACCATGTGGTTCATTTCCTTGCCGCCTGAGGTGCGCGGGGCACCCAGCTCATTCGACAGTCTGGGGAGGTATAGGCGATGTCTGGTCTGTCCTGACAACATATCGGGCGGTTTCGGGGCCATCCCAGGGCTCTTTGTGGGCGTTTTTTTGCGTCGGTCTTGGGATCATCTTCGTGGTCGCCGTTGTCGTCCTCCTCTCCCTCCTCCGCCAGTGTCTGTCTCACTTAGCCAAGAGCCTGCGTGCGGGCTCGCCTACTGCAGGTTGGTCCTATCGTCGTTTCGGTGTTGCTTGGACTTTGCGACGTGCGCGTGTGTCAGGGGCTGTTGGCGCAGAGTAGAGGCTCGCCGCTGCGTGGCCTTGGGCCTTATGTGTGCCTTATCCTCCTCCCGGCGCAGGTGGAGGACGCCACCTCGAGCTACATCCCTGAGTTCAAGGCGCCACCCCATAGTGAGCAGCAAACCCACTCCCAACCCATCTCTCCTTCTGCACGCCACTCTCAATTGTCATGCCCCTCCTCGACCTTCTCACCTCTCTCACCCCTCACCTCCCTCGCAAGTCCCCCGCACCTCCCGAAGGAGGATACCTACAGATCCACCTCGTTACCTCGCTACCCCTCCCGATCTACCCGTCCGAGGAAGTTGGAAAGCGATCCGGGGAGGGAGAAGGAGGAGGGAGATGTATTTGTATGAATGCCCGCTTCCTGCAGCTGGGTCCTGATTCGCAGGTCGACCCTGGGCAAAAATCAAGGGCGCCCTGGGGTCTTCAAGCAGGCCTTGGAAGAGGGTAAGTTGCTCCAGCGCGTTCCCGGATGCTGTCAGAACGTTCTGAAACGTTTTGCAGCGACCGCGGCGCCCGATCAGACCCGCCAGCTCTCCTCAGACAAGCCCAGCTTGTCCGCAATCGGACCTCTACTCTTGTCCTGCCTTCGCCTCAGGCCTTTCCCGTCGCGCTCCGGTGGCGGTGTTCGTGGAGTGCGGATCAGAGGTCGGCGCGGACTTGTTGGATCGGCGTTGGACCCCCCTTTCCCGGCGCGCGGATTGCGCCAGGGACGGCGCCAGAGGCCCCGCCAAGTGGTGTCCAGCGTCCAGCGCCGATCCCAGAAATCCGTGTGGATATCCGAAAGTTTAATGTTTAAGCAGTTCTCGCCGATCTTTTATGATGTGCACGTGCACATTAATGCAATTGCCTCCCATGAAGTACACCTTAGGCGATGCTCAAGAAAACTGAAGTTTTCGGCCAGAGTCTCGATTATTCTGAGACTATGAATTTCTTAAGCATTCTGAGACTGGGCTTTTCTTTAATTCTGAGACTATGAATTTCTTAACCCATGATTTCTTAAGCATTTCGCAGGGTGTAGGATTGGAGCAGAGCCGACGAGTTGTGATAATGCCCGCGCAGGGTGGCAGTTCTGCGATCGGCAGCCCAGGTCCCCCGCAGGGGCGGCAAGATGACCGCGCTGCGCCCGTCACGGTATGGGCCAGAGCGGCTGCCTGTCTCCAAGGGGGCGGCGCGTGGGCGCGAAGACGCGAAGATAATTCCGCGTCACGCATCGCGGGGCGCGACGTGCGAAGTTGGGTGACCTAGGCAGCGGGCGTGGAGGAGCCCCGCCCGTGCCGTACGCAGACGGGGGATCACACCTTGCCGTGCGCTGGACCCGCCTTTTGCGCGCGGTGGCTGCCCGCGACGGGGGTGTCGATTCGAGGCAATCGGCCGGGATGGCGCGCCCCCCCCCAGTTTACGTCATGGGGCTCGTGGTGGGACTCCCAGACGACGACCAAAAAGTAAGCGATGCCACCCCGCCTGCGGCCCTCCATGTTGCGCTACGGCTCATCGGAGGCCGTAGCGTATACCACACAAAAGCTCACGCCTGATGTTCTCGGTATACGCTGATCCCCGTGGGGCCGTTGGTGGGATGGTGTCGTTTGTGTTCTGGTTCAGGACATGACCGCGCCTTGAACCAAGCAGGACGGATGGGTTTCGCCGTGTTCGGCCTCCGAGGGCCCTCGCCGAGCCTCGGGGCTTGCAACCAGTCACTCTTAACGGAGAGTTGGTCCCGATGAAGAGGTCGAGAAGTCCGGGGACCGCGTGTTGAAAATAACAGGACATCGCACGTCTTGGTTCCAGTCCTCCTTCTGTCCCCCTTCCGCATCGAGGCTGCTCAGGTGCCAACTGTTTCGAGCATGTGCTGACATAAATCAACTCAGGGCGCCCCAAAGTCTGGTATGCTACGTTATGTTATCTTCCGGCGCATCTCATCTTGGACGGTTATTCTTTTTCGTTTGGTGTATCTTCTTTCTGTTCCATCATTCCTTCTGCTTCTGCTTCTGCTCAGCTTCTCCTCCTCATCCTTATCTTGAAGTGCGCCTGATTCTTCTTGGTGGCAGCAGGAGGAGGGAAGAGGAAGTCCAAAGGAGAAGCAGGAGGAACATAATACGGGTTGGATAGTGTTCTCCTCGTCTATCCTCCTCCGTCCTCATCGTGTCCATCCTTATCGTTGCTTTTGCCTCCTGGCCTTCCTCCCCCTCCCTCCCGATGCGGCAGGAGACTGTAATCCGCATGGTCAGCTCGCAGGGCGGCATCGTCGGCTACACGGTGGCCAGGGGGGAGTCGCGGTCCAGTTAGGAGGGGCCACCAGGCGATGATTCCGCGGATATGCTCCAGAGGGGCTGGGGTAGAAGACAAGACGGGAGGCGCACGATGACAAGAGGAGGACGGGGAGGAGCAGAACGTTGAGGGCGAGGAGGGTAAGGGGGGAAGGGAGGCTTAGAGACCTCGTATTCCTCCTCCTTGTGGTCACCGTCCGCGTCCCACCTTCCCTCCCCGCCTTCCTTCCTTTATGCTCCACCTTGTCCCTCACGTTGATCATTTCGTTATCGTTGTTTGGGGTATTGTTTTTGATGCCTCTCTCTCTCTCTCTCTCTCTTTCTCATTCTCCTCACATATATACAAGCATCGACATGTAAAACGTAGTGCAAGCATAAAGACATCATTTCCTTTTTCTCTCTCTCTCTCTCTGTCTCTCTCCCACCTCCTCCTCCTCGCCCACCCCGCTCCTCCTCCTCCTCCTCCTCCTCCACAATTACTCAATATGAATACTACTCTCCCTCTTCCCCTGATGACGGTTTGAAAGTATTAGCCCCCCCCCCGCGTACTGTTTCTTTACACACAGGATTCCCCGGAGGTGGGTTTTCGCTTGCATGTTTCCCAAAATGCTGCTCTCGTTGAGGCGCTGGCCTCATTTTCGGGCCCCGCTCGTTCCGAATCGTGCTCCCGCTGCAGCGCTGGCCTCATTTCCGTGCTTCCGCTCGTTCCGACTCGTGCTCCCGCTGCAGCGTTGGCGTCATTTCCCGCGCCATGCCACGGCATGCAATGCAATGCTAGGTTGATACTACGCTTTGCGGTGCTCTTCTACGCCATGCCATGCCGTGCTCTACAATGCATCGCGTACCATTTCGGGATCATTGCCCTGCTCGACATCCGACTGTGCGAGTAGAGAGGGGATCTACGCCATGGTAAGGGATGGGAGGGAGGGGTAGGATGTCAGATATGACGCGAGCGCACCTAGCTTGTCTTCCTCCCCCTCCTCCTCCCTCCTCCGTCCTCCCTCCTCCCTCTTCCCTCATCCTCCCTCCTCCCTTCCCATCTTGTCTCACTCTCCTCCCCCACCTCGTCTCCTGTCCCTCTCCGTCCCTCCCCTGCCTCCCCCCTGTCCCCCCTCTTCCTCCCCCCTCGTCAGCACCGTCGCCGCCGACGCCCTCGCCGCCCCCCGCCCGGTCGTCGTGGCCCTCGTCGCCATCGCCGCGGGTCCCCTCGTCGCCCTCGTCCTCGTCGCCATCGCTCGTCAGTCTCTTCACCAGGTGAAGAGGGCGAGGACGAGGCCCCGGAGTTCCGACGCTCCCCCTCGCCGAACCTCCCTCCTCCCTCCTCCTCCCCCTCCTCCCTCCCTCCCTCCTCCCTCCTCCCTCCTCCCTCCTCCCTCCTCCCTCCCCCCTCCTCCCTCCCCCCTCCCCCCTCCCCCCTCCCTCCCTCCCTCCCTCCCTCCCGCAAACATGGACCAAGGGGGCGTGGATTAGCGAGGGGCCCCCTTTCCTAGTGGGAAATCGCGGATTTCCGCCGCCGAGCGAGGCAGCACTGGCCGCATTTTGGGGGAGGGCACCTCTCCCGATTCATGGATTTGGCGACCGCGCGCCAAATCCATCGATCGCTAATCCATGTTTGCGCGCCCCCGAGAAAAGCCGGCCCCAGGGAAGTGGTCCAGACCTCCGGGGCCCACGCATCCAACAAAAACAATTGGAGCAGCCGGATGCCTGAGGAGGTGCGGTTCAGGCGAGGACGAGGAGAGGACGGAGAGAGGACGAGCCTCGCCACGACGGCGAGGACGGGGGCGCGGACGGAGGTGAACACCGCCGCCCTCGTCCTCGTCCTCGCCGTCGTGGGCGCCCGCTTCGCCCCCCCCGCCATCCTCGCCGCCGCCGCCGCCGCCGGACGCACGCCCCGCTAGGGGGCCACCTGCGAGCCCTACCCCTACCCCCCATGATTTCTGAGGGGGTAGGGGTGGGCTTCACTTCGCTCGGGAGCTCCCGAGCGAAGTGAACCCCACCCCTCCCCCCTCGGAAACCGTGGGGGGCAGGGGTGGGGTTCGCATGTGGCCCCCTACCCGCGCCCGCGCGCGCGGGAGAGCCCGCGCAGCGGCGTGGCCCCGAGGTGAGCACCGCCCAGAGCGTGGCGGACGCCCTGCGGGCGGCCTCGCCGGCCTGAGGGCGCCGGCGCCCGGCCACGCCCTCGTCTTCGGAGGGGGCGGCAGGGGCGGAGAGCCCTCGAGAACAGGGAGCCCTCGAGGAGGAGGAGGAGGAGGAGGAGGAGGGAGGAGGGAGTGAGGAGGAGGCAGGAGGAGGGAGGAGGAGGAGGAGGAGGAGGAGGAGGAGGAGGAGGAGGAGGAGGAGGAGGAGGAGGAGGAGGAGGAGGAGGAGGAGGAGGAGGAGGAGGAGGAGGAGGAGAGGAGGAGGAGGAGGAGGAGGAGGAGGAGAGGAGGATGAGGAGGAGGAGGAAGGAGGAGGAGGAGGAGGAGGAGGGGGGAGGAGGGAGGAAGGAGGCGGAGGAGGAGGAGGAGGAGGAGGAGGAGAGAGGAGAGGAGGAGGAGGAGGCGGAGGAGGAGGAGGGGAGGGGGGGCAGCGAGGGCTGCAGGAAAAGGTACTCCTGAGGGCCCCTGGAGGGGCCCTTCGCCCTCTCCCCCCCACCGCGAAGCGACGGCCCGCTCTGCGGCACGTGCCCCAGGCGTCGGGCCTCCACGTACCAGACGCTCCTCGCTCTCTCCTCCTCCTCCTCCCCTCCTCCTCCTCCTCCTCTCTCCTCCTCCTCCTCCTCCTCCTCCTCCTCCTCCTCCTCCTCCTCCTCCTCCTCCTCCTCCTCCTCCTCCTCCTCCTCCTCCTCCTCCCCCTCCTCCTCCTCCTCCTCCTCCTCCTCCTCCTCCACGAAGACACGCGCACGGCCATAGCTCGGTGGCTTGGGCCGCTTCCCGCCGACGCGGGCTATTGAAATGGCTTCCGGCCAGTGCCGCCGATCCGGGGCGCTTCGGATGATGGTGATGATGACGATGATGATGATGATGATGATGATGATGATGATGATGATGATGATGATGATGATGATGATGATGATGATGATGTTGATGTTGATGTTGATGTTTATGATGATGATGATGCTGATGATGATGATGATGATGCTGTTGATGTTGATGTTGATGTTGGTGTTGATGATGATGATGATGATGATGATGATGATGATGATGATGATGATGATGATGATGATGATGATGATGATGGTGGTGGTGGTGATGATGATGAAAGCGGGCTACTTACCAGCGGCCCTGGCCCGGTGAGCTGTTGAGGGGCGCGCAGTGGGGGGGGGGCGATGCTGGGGGGGCTGCGAGGGCTGCCAAAAGAGGCCCTTCAGGGACCTGAAACGGGCACTTTCGCGCCCAGAAGGAGGCCTTTGGAGTCCGAAAATGGCACCTTTCTTCCCAACCCCATGCATCGCCCCCCCCCCATCCTCGTTTTCGGATCGGCGCTTTGCTCCCGTCGTTCAGAATGGCGCTCTCGCCCCAGCGCGGACAACTTTTCTGGATCCGAGTCCTTGTTCATTGTTGTCGCCCCCTCATGTTTCATGTTTCCTCCTCCGGCTTCCCCTGTTTCTTCTGTTTCTCCCGTTCCTTCAACTCCAGCTTTTGCTGTTGCTTTTCGTCCTCGTCCTCCTCCTTCCTCATTCTCCTCTTTTTTCTCCTGCTCATCCTCCTGCTCATCCGCCACCTCCTCCACTGTACGCAGCTCCCTGTTTTCCGACTGCGCACGACAGCAATGAGTCTTTTTTTGGAGTTCCAGCTCCGCTAAAACACGCGTCGGCAGATGGATAGAAAACAGCCCCATGGGAAGGGACGGGAGGGAGGGATGGGATGACAGACATGGCGCGTGCGCACCAAGCTTGCCTTGCCCCCCCCCCTCCTCTGCTCCCTCCTGCCTTGTTGTCGCCCTATATACTCTTGTCTAGTCCCCGCCCTCCTCCCGTGGCCCCTCCAGCCACTGCCCGTTGCCCTGGCATCGCTCGGACGTGTGCATTTTTCCTCGGCAAGGGCCCTCGAGGAGATTGCTGGATCCTCTTGCGAAACAAGCGTGCGCACGAAGGCCGAGCAATGCACTCGGCGCGGGCGTCCGAGCGATGGCGTTGCCCCCTCCACCATCCAATCGATTCCCCGCCCGCGGCCTGGAATAGCGCCGCCCGCCCGTGGGGCGCGGCCTCCCTCGGCGGCCTCCCTCCGCGCAGAAACAGGCGACGCTCCGCGCCGGCCCGCCGGCCAGCGGCGGCGGCGACAACGGCGGCGGCGGAGGCCACCGCGGCCGGTGGCGAGGGAGAGGATCAGAGCCCCGAATCATCAGGGGTAACTCGGGTCGGGGATAACTCGGGTTCGTTTTTCGGGAATCCAAGCCCGAGTTACCCCGGACCCGAGTTACCCCGGATAATTCGGGCGTCCAGAGCCCCGAATCATCAGGGATAACTCGGGTCAGGGATAACTCGGGTTCGTTTTTCGGGAATCCAAACCCGAGTTACCCCGGACCCGAGTTACCCCGGATAACTCGGGCGTCCAAGAGGAGGGCCCGCAGTGTGGTGAGGAAGGGGGGGGGAGGGCGGAACGGAGGAGGGAGGAGACGGCAGGGAGCGGCGGCGTGGTCACGGCGCCTCGCGCGGTGGTGCCCTTTTTTCTGCATCGAGGCACTGCGCGGAATCAGGAGGAATGAGCTGGTAGGGGAGGGAGGAGGGTGGGGGGAGTAGGGCGAAGCACGGGGATGGGATGTGGTGGGGGGCACAAGTTGCCCCGCTGGATGTGTTGACTATGCGGCCCTTGTGGTGCAGCCTTACCGAGGTATAAGATCGAGGTCTGTTCGGGGAGGGTACCCTCGTGTTCTTCGTGCTTGTTGGATGTTCGTTGGCATCCTGGGGGAGGGTACCCTCGCGTGATCTGATGGTTTGGGGTGCTTTGGCCGGCGGAGGGCTTCATGCTCTGGAAGCGTGCTCTCCTGTCCTGGGCCCGACTGTACCTCATGCTGCCTCTGCCGCGGCCCAGGTGCAGCGCCGCCCAGCTCTTCGCGAGGGCGCTGGCTGCGCACCCTCCAGGAGCACCGGGCAGCCCCTGCCTGCTTGTGGCAGTGGCCCCGGCAAGCCTGTGGGGCAGGTGCGCCCTGGGTCAGGAGGGGAAAAAACACACAGACACAATTCATCGGCGATTCCCAGAAACTATGGGAACATATGGGAAGTGGGGGGGAAGACCAAAACCCCGAAAAGATGGGAAAATGTGGGGAATCTTTTTGTTTGTGTGTATTTATCTGTGCGTCCCAGGGCCCCTTCACTGGGGGGCCGCCTGTGGCGCCTGTGGCCGCGGGCGCGCGGGGCGCGGGCGCTGCGCGGCCAGTCCCACGCCGCCTCCTCGACGGAGCCGCCGGGAGCGGCGGCGCGCGGCGCGGCGGGCACAGCCGGGGCCCGGAAGCAGCGACCGCCTGGCGCGCGAGAGGGCCGAGGCCGAGGCCAAGAGTCAGCAGGGGAAAGAACACACAGACACAATTAATCGTCGACTCCCAGAAAATATTGGAAAATATGGGAAGTGGTGGGGAAGACAAAAACCCAGAAAATATACGAAAATATGGGGGATATTGTTATTTGTGTGTATTTATTTGTGTGTCCCAGGGCCCCTTCAAAGAGGGCCGAGGCTCCAGAGATTCGGGGTGGCGACCGCACGTGTAAGGCGGGCGTGTCCCTCTACAGGGGGGAAAATTCAAAAATGGTAATCAGAGCCCCGAATCATCAGGGGTAACTCGGGTCAGGGATAGCACGGGTTCCTTTTTCGGGAATCCAGACCCGAGTTACCCCGGGCCCGAGTTACCCCGGATAAGTCGGGCGTCCAAGAGCCCCGAATCATCAGGGGTAACTCGGGTCAGGGATAACTCGGGTTCGTTTTTCGGGAATCCAAGCCCGAGTTACCCCGGGCCCGAGTTACCCCGGATAAGTCGGGCGTCCAAGAGCCCCGAATCATCAGGGGTAACTCGGGTCAGGGATAACTCGGGTTCCTTTTTCGGGAATCCAAACCCGAGTTACCCCGGACCCGAGTTATCCCGGATAACTCGGGCGCCCAACAAGAGGGCCGAGGCTCCAGAGATTCGGGGTGGCGACCGCAGGTGTAGGGCGGGCGTGTCCCTCTGCAGGGGGAAAGTTCAAAAATGGTAAGAAAATAGTCTGGGGGCGATTTGTTTTTTTTTGTTACTACTATGTTTGACTTCTTGGGGGTATTGTTGGAGTACTTGTTCTCGGGGTATCCCCCTGGATGGGGGGCACGCCCGACGTAACCGCAGGTCGGCCCCGCTGGCCCGTGTCCTGGTGATGGGATCTTCATCGGGGTGGTCTCGTGGCCCGGGTCTCCTTCCTTCTGTGTCTGGCGGCCTCGACCGGCCCTCCCTGGATCGACTCCTCCTTCCACGAACTCGGGCTTCGTCGTGTTGACTTCAGAAGAGGAGGGGCCGTATGGTTGGGTGGAAGCGGAGGACTGGACGAGAGAAAGGCAGGTGGGAAGAGGGGCCAAGAAAGGTGAAATCGGAGGAGGATTTGTAAGCGATGGGGAGGAGGGGACCTTCGAGCTCCAATGCGGCGCTCATGTTTTCAGTGAGCGAGACCAGGGGCAGGAGGAGCATGCTGTGTGCGAGGAGGACGAGAAAGGAGGGCGGCGGATGGCGATGCAAGGATGGGGGAGGCTGCACGGAACATTGTTGTGTGGAAGAGTGGGGGGGGGAGGGGGGAGGGAGGGGGCGAGACAGAAGGAGGAGGGCGAAGGTCGATGGGGGAAGGGTGGGAGAACACATATTCAAGTATGCGTGTTTCTTCTTGGGTTCCAGGTGGAGGAGGGAGATAATGATGACGACGACGACAGAGACTGGGGACAAGTGGAGGAGGAGGAGGAGGACGAGGAGGAGGAGGAGGAGGAGGAGGAGACGGATCATTTCGACGATGGCAACGGCGAAGAGGAGGGCGTTGAGGAGCAAGAGGATGACGATGTGGGCGAGGGGGAAGAGGAGCCAGGAGGAGGAGGAGGTGAGCGAGTTGAAGTGGGGGGAGCGGGGCTGCGAGAATGAAGCCAGGAGGTAGGGAAGGTTGGAGGTTGGTGGAGGCCTTATTTCAGCATGCACGTCGGTCGAAATAACATAGCTTGTCGGTGAGAATGC